AAAAAATTTCGTATCAACAAAAAATTTCGTTGATACGAAATTTTTTGTTTGTCGAGGTAGAGATGTACCTGAAAAATATGGAATAGTGTTGATTCATAGCCTGGTTCTTCAGCCTCGCAGTTAATTTCTCCTGCTGGTCTGACCAGTCTGACATCGCCTGATGGACGGCCCCTTAAGCCAACTGAACATATTTGCTATTATTGTGATAATTCAGCCAGTCGTCGATATATTGCCAATACCGTATTCGTTCTCGCTTATGGCGGAAGTCCGGGTTCCACTGACAATCACATCTGCCGAACTAATGGAAAGGTGCAGAAAACGGATCGACAATCCGGCGGAGTTTGTTGAGATATTTGACGAGAAGGTGAAGCCGCCCAGTTTGCCGGAATCGCCAAAAGGGGATAAATTGCCACCAGAAAAGGTTTTTATTTTAATTAATTTAGTTGTATAGGCGATACAGAATTCTAATCAAACCTTAGTTTTAATGAATATGACTTAGTGGACCGAAACATTGCTTACCGTTATAATAATTTCACAAATTTTCTAATTTTTATTTCTTACCTTTTTCTTTTTTTTTTCTCATTATTTTATCCCTTATTGTAACTTTCTTTTGGAAATACCTGAAACAGATTTTGGTTCTCAGCTTAATTCTTCCAACTGTGTGGTTGGAACTTTTTCATTCGTGCTGTCAAGCTTTGTTGCTGTTTTTTTGTGGGAAGTGCGTGCCACATAATATATCGAATAATGATTTATGGTTTTTTGTTAGAAATGGCGTAAGGAACAATTGCATCACTGGGATTCAATATCCCGGTCCCTGGTTCAACCTTTGAACACCCTACCCCGTTAAAGTGTGCAATCTTAGTAATCTCTAACCACTGGAGTATAAAAGCACTCCTTCCCATCCCCAGGATCCAGAACTGTTTCCAGCTACTTGAGAAAGTTGCTCCCTGTTCACTTGCCCCTGTTCTGGGTGAGTTTCGGCTCCCAGAATCTCACCACCCTTTTTGTATTGTCTTATTTTACTTCATATTACTTTAGTTAATTCATGTATGTATATATATGTATATATATATATATGTACATATACATATATACATATATGACTAGGTGTTTTCCACAAACACCCACACAGGGCACGCCACAAGTCTAGTTTATTAACTTTTAAGTTCGGGATAGTACTAACCAATGTGCCATTCATCGGCTGGCGGTCAGCCAACCGGTGATTTTAATATTCGATTTGTCTCCTCAAGGAATTATCGGGGGCTGTTTCGGCACACTTGACAAGGTTATTTTAGCTAAAATTCACTTATAATTTTTTGAAATATTTTTTGCAGCTACAACGTCAAACACCAGTGATTATTGTGGAAACACGAAAAGATGCACATAGCGTTGAGCTGCAAAATTTCTGTTATAACAGTACAATTGCATTGATTCGTGGATTAACGCAGACGTTAAAAATGGATCTTTCGCTATTCTCAACGAAATCCCTTTTGGAAATTGCACCCGAACATGAGGTATTTGCATTTGGAATGAACTTTTTTCCATATTTTCCGAGTTTTAGGGTTGGCAGGTTTAATATGATGTTCGATAAGTGGGAAATATTTTTTTAGGAAGGAATTTTGGTTTTGAAAATTATGTGTGTATTGTTTTGAGTGTGTGTATGTCAAGTTGGCGCGGGGTAGGGGGAGGGGAAGGGGAGTTTGTTATTTGTCAGGAAGGTAGAGGAGGAGGAAGGAGAGGAGGAGCGGAGGGGAGGAACCTCCTTAGCTGCCTCCAAGTAACTTACGAAAGAGGCTAGCACTGACATCTCTGGTACCGGATTTTTGGTTATTATAGAAGCATTACAGTGCGAGAATATTTCCCACTAA